ACTGATGCATTCCGATGAGATCACAGATACCACATTTCTAGACGAATAGTTTTTTTGTCATATAAAAGCGCGAGTAGCATATAACACTTACTAACGATATTCGTACATCAATACGTTTAAGCTTCCGGTCATGTAATAACACAGACAACCCAATAACTTCCGGTGGTCCAAACGCGGCATGACCGCAGATAGACTAAAAGGTAATTTTAAAGTCGGACCTCGCCTTCGGCTAGTCCGACTAATAATATAAAAGCGTGCGCATTCATTGTTTTCTTTCTCTCAAGCAATAGTTGGGTAGTCTATGACAAAACGAGATCAATGGTCAACATATCTAAGGCTCCCTTAAAGAAAATGTCGAAATAATTCTAAGTGCCTACATTCTCATTAGTATATTCACTAAGTGGCATCCGGTGAGACGGTCCGTCAAAATGAATATCGTTTCGTGACGATCCGTCACCAASTGACACGAAACGWRACCAATGGTCAACATATCTAAGGCTCCCTTAGAGAAGATATGGAAATAATTCTAAGTGCCTACATTTTCATTAGTATATTCACCAAGTGACATCTGGTGCGACGGTCCGTCAAAATGAATATCGTTTCGTGACGATCCGTCACCAACTGACACGAAACGAAACCAATGGTCAACATATCTAAGGCTCCCTTAGAGAAAATGTCGAAATAATTCTCATTCTCATTAGCATATTCACCGAAATACAAGCGATAACACATTATCACAGGGAACCCATCTCCATTCATTCACGAAGTGACTGTTTAAGACAGATGTACTTTTTAAACAGACGATCCGTCTAGTTTCGCCATGTGTATTGGACAACCCTCTCCTTTAGAACAACACTTCGTAAGCGAAAAAAAATCAAAACATTTTTGTATCTAGTTTTTGATCCTCATTAGCATTTGAGCTCTAGCATTTTTATCCGGTTATGTGAAATCGTTCTATTAAGTCAGCACTGAATATTGAAACAACAGTACAATAACAAGCTTTCCTCGCAATTTTTGAGTTTCCCATACGGAATACTTTTTGCATCAAATGGTTTATAAAACTCCAATTTTTAGAAAAATTGTATGAGCGAATTAGCGCTTTTGACACTCAGCATCTTTGAACGCTAAAATCTCATAAACTATTGCATGTAAAGAACTTATTTTACAGTTGTTGTTGTTGTTTTTTTTTGTTTTTTTTTTTCAATTTAAACTTAACGCAAATTAGCAAAATTTTGTGAACGAAATATTTATATACTGTATATAGTAAAATATGTAAACTGTACATACTTTTTAATTTTACAAGCTGGTTTCGTATAAGGTCATCAGAGACAGAGATGACCACACTCGGCGTCAGGCAATTTTCAATGAATGGATGCAAAGAAACAAACATTATAGGACTAGCCACAAACTTCAAAGAACGATATAGAAACCACAAATGTTTACTAAAACTGTCAAAACGAAGAAACGAAAGAGAACTGTCAAAGTACATCTGGAAATGAAAAGAGGAAAAAATATAACATTAAATGGAAAATAATTTAAAATTCAAACCTTACAACATTATAACCAAAAAATGTAATCCATGTCTAAGCGAGAAATGTAGCATTATATTTGTAAAAAGCACTTATGACGAAATGAATTAGCCCGCAGCCCATGTCAACACAGAAATGGATTCACACTTAGATACCATGTGTAACATAGCCGGATGTAAATTAGACGAGCGTTTCTAAACTACCAGCAAAATGGTCATGACCATACGAAACCTGCAGCTTGTAGCAATAAAACAATGAATCATTCTAGTCTCTAGATTCAGAGGGTTGGAACACAGTACAAGTCCTGAAATTTACTTGTTTTTATAAAACTCGATAATGTTGACGTCAAATTCTTCCTCACGTTCTTCTTTTTCGATAAGAAATGTTTTATTTGAACGTATCACAAATCTCCAGCCAATTTGGCTTACAACACTTTCAAATACTTCCTTCGAACCGAAGTTGAATGAAAATGCAACGAACACTCTTCCTTTTGACTTGAGAAAGTGTTGAGCTTTGGAAAGGTATTGTTGAAAACCGAGATTTCCAGGGTCGATGAAGCTCTTCATTATTGTAGGTAGTTCAACATTGCTATCAGAGCGGTGTCCTTCCGAAGGCATATTCCAGTAAATCATGTCAAATTTTCTCCCGATAATTTCTTCGTGGTCGAACACATCAGCAACTACGGCATGGACCCGATGTGCGACTCCATGGGTCTTTGCATTTTCCACAGTGTTTGCAACAGCCGCTTCGCTGATGTCAGTTGCCCAAACTTTACACTTCTCTGACGCCATGGCCACCAGGACTGACGTATAACCAGCTCCGCAACCGACCTCAAGGAATTCAAATGAGGCGTTTTTCAGAGCAACTTCATGTTGGACTATTTTCAAGACCTCTTCGTTTAAGAATTTTTTCACATCTGGAGTTATGTCCGGATGAAAAACTCCATGATGAATAGAGAATTCCTTCCCAGCAACTGTTGTTTTCGCTCTTTCTAATTGCAGTTCTTGCATTTTTTTGGTGATGTTAGCGTAACCTTTGGCTTCACCAATATGATTCATCATACTGTTAGATATTTA